GTGCGCATTGGTATATACAGGTCTATATATACTTGTTGATGTGCGCATTGGTATATACAGTACAGGTTTTATATATATTTGTTAATATGCGCAATGGTATATACAGGTCTATATATACTTGTTGACGTGCGCATTAGTATATACAGGTCTATATATATGTTTAGTATAATTTGAGACTTGAATATAGAGTTTCTCGAGCTGTGATTGGTCGAGCGACCGGTGAATCTGAGACGGTAATCACTGCTGGACAGGTGATTATGAGGTTTTGCAGAGTTTTCCAGATCAGAAGTAATAATAAAACGTTTTTTTTTTTATCCTGAATTTTGACTTTTCTCTGATATTCAAGTCTAAAATTATGCTAAAGCAATCATATCCCTCAGGCTCAGTGATTATGGTGATACTTACCACGCTGCTCGAAGACTCGCGGCTCGCTAAATATTCCACTAATAATCACTTTGCCTTCGGCGAATAATTGTTAAATATCAATTTAGAACAGGTTTTTGACTAGGATTTTTCGCCATCCTTTTACTTGGGGCGCTATATTTCAATACACAGTGCCATCTTCACTAGATAATATATTTGATATAACTTACGATATCGCGATAAAGAAATAGAGTTGTTGGCCATCACTAGAGCTGATGGATAAAATAGCGTTCTTGCCATACTTTGCCTTGCTGTCCATCTTAACATACGCACTAACTACAAAGTCATGGCTCTCACTGATCACGCGTCTAGCATCGTCAAGACCCTTTTGCCTGGAGATGATATTTCTAGTGCTGCTTGTGAATCGATACGCTGGGCTGTTGCTATGGTGACCAGAGACTTTGGACACTCCTGGTGGGGTGTTTGTGGTCAGTCCAGCCTCGGTGAAAAAATTGATCTCTTTGGGGAGATCTGCAACTGAAAAGCAAGCATTTTTGAACTACGTCATTCAATTATGTACTATCCAGTAATGGTAACAACGATCATAGAAAATATAGAGCTTCCATCGAGACACTAACTATGTGTACGATTTCCGGAGTGAAAATAGGCGGCTATTCCTGTAGTGAAACGTACAGTTCAACCAAATAACTGATCGTATGTTCTTCGAAGGAGCTGGCGGTATGATAATTTTAGTTCAGATTACGTTGTTTCAGTTGAGCGCAGTGGTGATGAATGATGACCATAAGCTCCACATGACGCGACGCCATGAGATTCTTTCAAATATCTTATTACACTAACTGTCGCATTTGTTTTAACCGCCGTTAAATACTTTGATTTATACCTATTTTCAATTTATTAGGCCGGCAGTATTCCTAATTTCTGTAAAAACAACACAGGTTTAGATTATCTTGTAATCGAGGGTCAAGTTATTAAAAGTACAAGTGATGACACGATAGATTGGCTCATCTTAAGGGTCGTGAATCTCGGACATACATCAAATACCTACATATAACATGTTTTTACGCATCGAATCAGTGAACAGTTGTCTTGCCGTTTAGAAAATTTTCATTCACTTAAGCTTCTGTTACTAAAAAAGGGACTTGGAATGATGGTCGAGATATAGTTATGTATAAATATATATATCATAGGAATAGTACATCCATGTAAACTGAGTGAAGCAAGACATACCTTGTGCAGTTGTCGATAAGAAACCAAATACAGCTGATGCCAACACCACAACTAGACCATTACACTTCATGATGATTGCCTTTATTTTGAACGATCGTTTGTTTTGTTTTCTGGCTCTTGTTTTGCTCGTGACTGTTTAACGTGTCCCAAAGTGAGATGATTGTATTTATGGCGCAGCTTGGTACCGTGTTATGGGACCGTGTGATGGGTGTGGTTCGACAAGGCTGTTGACGTAATTCCTCCTTTATGTACGCTTCAGCAACAACGGCAGGAATTTACACCTTTGTAAAGAAACTACGAGAAATCTTCCGGAAATGACATTCTGATTGCGTTACTTCACCCGACTGGCTAATCCTGGGCTAATCCTCTTTACTCGAGTCARGCTACTAGCAGAGATTTCATGTGAGGCATCTTGAGTGAATGCCAGCCTAGACTCATTTAGCTTGCTCAGACAGTTTTAGTTCTAAATGTGAATAAGCCTGAAGCGAGATGACGTTTTACCCCCGACTCTATACCATAATAGTTTTTAAAATTCTTTCATATTAAAATTTTTGATTTCTTAGAGAATACAGGAACAATAGTCATAATTATAAAGAACAAAAGCAATGTGAAAAGGATTATGGTCTAGAGACGGGGGTAAAACGTCATCTCGCTTCAGGCTTATTCAAAGTTGGTTTATAAACCACAAAAAGATACAATGACAACATCCTCAATGCYACATTTCCGGTTTGTGTTGGAATTGTTCATAATCACTTCCGGTTAGATTATTGAGGTTTGTTATGAGTTCACGACCTCGCCCTAGCCCGCTGCTGGTCAACCACAGGGTACCACAGTGGTACCACAGGCCAAGTGACTGTAAGTGATGAAATACTTTGTTTCTAGTACCTTCTAGGACTTGCTGTTTATTTGTCTGTTTACTCTACTGTTGATTACAAGTGATTATAGTAAGGAAGGGTTGTTCTACCAATCTGTGCCAGTAATTATGGTAAGCTGCTAGAGCACAATGATAAAATATCTATAGGAAATTCATGAAATATTTGACTAACTTTTGACGTACACTATATATCTTAGCTTCCGTACCTTTATGACAGCAGTTACTTATTCAGACTGTACCCCGAGAAGGCATTTGTTTCTCTTTACTCGCTCAGGACTGTGTATGTCGGATATCAGAAATGATGTGTCAGCACTAGTGACGCATTTAGGAGTAGAAAGGTACACTCGCCCACTCCTCTTGAACAGGTAGGGGGCATAACGACACTATAGATTAATTGTTATACAATTTTAAAAATAGTCACATTACGGGATTCATTTCATTCCCATTTCTYGTTGCGCAGTGAAATGAACCGTCATTAGCACGGACAAGGGTAAGGTGAGATGAGTTACTATACTACTACTATACTACTCGTCAGTCCAGTAAAACCAGTTATGCTGGGTGTTTAGACGTTGTTAATCTGGGCCAGGAAAACAAGCTAGTGYTGGTGTGACCACGGGATGACGGCTGTCTAGAAGGGCTAGGGCTCGTTTGTTCATCCAGCTTCATTTGAAGTGTTAGTACTTTTTCATTCAATTCATGGATTGTTTTTTCATAGTCATTTTTCATTTTTTCTTGCGTATCTACCAATCGATTAATCTTCTGTTGCAAAGCTGCCACTTGAAGCTCCATGGCTGCACAGGGGTTAACTTTTCCCTCTACCTCGAGTTTCAGGTTTTCAACCTCTAAAAAAAGAGCAAAAGCAGTAAAAGAACATAAAAGTGATATTCTATCGTCATTAAATCTGGTACTTACCTTGTTCACTCCAAGTCACTCTCTCCAGTAGTTCATGACCCAAGAATGCCTGAATCTCAGTCACAAGCAAAGCCTTGATCAACATCTTCAATCCATTCTTTCTTTTTTTCAATATTTTGAGCAGTTTTTCAGCTTTCTTTTTTGATGTCCTCTTTGCTTTAATTTTGTCCAGATCTTCTTCACTCAGTACGTGTTCTTGGTACAAGTAACTCAAGAGTGATATCGCTTCTAGATTTTTTTCCAATCTTACATACATGTGTCGAATGACTTCTTTATCTTGTTCTTCCATTGCTTTAAAGATTTATATGTATATGAGAATATGTATGAAATATATATATTTGTAATGTATCAAGCTGATCCTCGCAGTATATGAAGCAACTTATGCAGCTGAATAATTGAAAGAATCTGAAATAATTCTTTTTCTGAAACGATTCTGAAAAAAGTAATTTCTTGCATACAAAACTGAAAAATATTCATAAAACACCAAAATCAACTATTAAATTCCAATTAGATCATGAAACGAGGGCCACAAGGTTGTTCGCCTCAAGCTATCAAGTGGTATCCTCGAAGTACGTAAAACAAGGAAAAGAATCATAAGCGTGAAAAAACTTAAAGATTTAGCTGTCAAATTCTGTATTGTTTTGTCACTAGTCATGCAAATCTTGCAAGGAAATAATCACAGGAAAAATATCCACATGGTGTTTAGCTGTCGAAAAGGAAGTCTAGAACCATTACTAATAGTTAAAAGAAAACAGAAACTTATTTGATTTTGCATTAACAAAAATCAATTAGGACAATAAGATAACGATTAGTAATAAGTATTGTTTTTGCTTGAAACGGTATTCTGATTTGTGAATCGACGACGTGAGCACAATCATGTCGTATTCATTAATCCTTCGTGTTTATAGAAAAACATCGATTGTAGTTGGTATATTCCAAATGGTTTTAATTTCCGTAGTTCAAAGAAGTAAAAACAGTGATCAGTGACGATGTTTTTACGGTTCTATAACATGACACACAGAAAGCCGTTTGAATTTAAATCTCGAACTGTAAGATTATTTAGTACAGATCACTTCTAACGAACCCATCGATTGTCTAAAGTGTGCAAAACCTAAGGTGGATATTTTGGTATATAGATAAAGRTTCTTCGAGGTGGTAAAGGATGCTAATCACTTCTTTGTTCCGTTTAGTGTCACTACATAGCTGACTTCATCTTCTACCCGAGTCAACATACTTCAAGTTTACACTGATTTCCTGCAAGAACTTGTCTTGAAATTGATGTGATACCTTGTGATCAAAACAATATAATATATGAGAAAAATTAATTAAGAATGAGTTTTGTGTATCTTGTTACCTTTTCGTCACCTCAGGCACTTCTTTGATACGATCTCTCATCTTCTTTAAAGTGCTACTATGACGAAAATCGCTCAAACTTGGATTCAGCTGAAACTTCCTAAGAATACTCTTTAAAGGTCCAATAATCACTGTATGAAGTGTTTTCTCGATATCCAGGACGAAACTATGATATTTTTACGATTATTTTTTGGAGTCTGTGACGTCATACACTCGACATCGAACATCGCTCCATACATTTCTTTGTATATAAATCCTTAATTTATTTTATTCCTATGAAGCCCAAAGGGTGGCTAATGTGCTTATTTCACATTACTTGTGACTATGATTTATATTTTGGGATGTTTGGGTATTTCTTTCTCCCTTTACTACTGATATTTTGATCATAAACTACAAAGAAATGTATGGAGCGATGTTCGATGTTGAGTGTATGACGTCACAGACTCCAAAAAATAATCGTAAAAATATCATASTTTCGTCCTGRATATCGAGAAAACACTTCATACAGTGATTATTGGACCTTTAAAGAGTATTCTTAGGAAGTTTCAGCTGAATCCAAGTTTGAGCGATTTTCGTCATAGTAGCACTTTAAGCATCTTAGATTTTGAAGGACATGAAAGCACAGTCACGGTAACAACGTCACAACAATGAGTCATGTGATGACCGACCCACCCCTCCACCCCTCCCCCTAGTAAGGATCAACGACCTTCCTCAGACAGTGACTTTATAGCACAACAGTCACACAGTACGGCGCTATATTTTTATTTTCTTAATATATTTCTTCTATTATTAGTACCTAGGCTTGCCTGATCGTGTCTATTGTGTCAGGGATGTGAAATTGAAATATTTACATGAATGTTTGTTATTTTGTCTTCTTTGTGGTCTAACGTGGTGTGTTGATCTAAGCGAGAATGGTAAGGTCAGTAGAATTAGAACAGGTATCACAACAATCATCAGAAGTATTACTTAAAGATTCAGTAGAACACTGGTCAGCGGTCTTATGTTCCACTATACCATGTCTTTTGCCGAAAATACCCAATATTGTATTTTTTAAGCTCGTTGAACTACGGCCTATTGAGTCATTGAATGATCTTCTTCTGTTTGCCCTTGACTTGGGTCTTCTGTCTGCTGTAAAACAAAACAAGAAAAGTGACATTAAATAAACTGAATTGAATTGAAGAGTACTGATATAAGTCTGTTTACCATATACAGAATCGCTCCATCTGCGTCCAACATCAGTCCAGTTGATCCCCAAATCATCATGGATTGCGTTAACACTGGCCGCTGGAAGATCCCCTGCAGTTAGTGATGTAGTCTTTTGACAGCCTTGGTCAGTTTTAACTTCAGATTGTGCTGTGGGAGGTAATGAAAGTGAGAAATATTGACCAATGCTCATCCAGTATATGTTGACCAATCCTCATCCAGTATAACACTTATATACTTTCTTACCCTTTAATGTCTCATCAACAGCGCGTGTTTCTTTGTTCAGGTCAGGTTTCCAAAGTCTTCTTGATCGCCGTAGTTTTTGAAACAATTGACTTCCAACCATCACATCCGATGACGGCTGTTTCTTTTCTTGTGCGCATTGCTTTTGGAGGACGACCTTTTCTTCTTCAAGAAGATTGAATTTCGACTGGTATTCAGATAATTTCGACATGAGTTCGTCGTTCTTGTGTTTTAAAACTACAAGATTCGCTTGCAGCAATTGACATGGGTCCACTTTACCTTCCAATTCAAGATTAAAGTTCTCTAATTCTGGGATAGTAATAAGAAAATAATTGTCGATAGTTGCATTTAATTTTTTTTCTGTAAAAAATTTGTCAGTTTTACCTTGTTCACTCCAAGTCACTCTCTCCAGTAGTTCATGACCCAAGAATGCCTGAATCTCAGTCACAAGCAAAGCCTTGATCAACATCTTCAATCCATTCTTTCTTTTTTTCAATATTTTGAGCAGCTTTTCAGCTTTCTTTTTTGATGTACTTTTAATTCTTATTTTGTCCATATCATCTTCGTTGAACACATGTTCTTGGTAAAGATAACCCATTAGTTTCGTTGCTTCCAGATTCCGTTCAAGTCTGACATACATTCTTCTGATTACTTCTTTGTCTCGTTCTTCCATCATTACCTGAGCGTCTTCCGTTAAAGCATTAAAAAATAAACGCTTTATGTTTCATGTTGAAAATAAAGTCTATAGGTAGAGTAACTTAACTAAAAGTGGCAGAAAATCCACAATGATGCATGCAAGCGAGCAAGATTCTTTTTCTAGGAACCTTTTTGTCACTATCTAAAATAAAATTAACGTGTTATTTGTCAAATGTCGACTCTGAAATCCCCTCTGATCTATTTTTAGACACGTTTCACACTAACTATGATTCGGATTGTCAGTAGGGAATAATGATTGAGGTGGGCGGAATCATTTAGAAGAGTATTTTTCGCTGTTCAACATCATCGGATTAAACAATCAACGTACAGAATAACAAAAATAGCACAATCCGGAAGCACACACGCTACTCCTACGCTTAGTACTAATATGTTTGTTTCTGATGGCGTTTCCAAGATAACACATTTTTATTTGCTGCCATATTTGGTTCTTTCTTATCAGCCAAATATTAAGAAAAGACTTATTTTTAGACTTATTAATTATAGATACGAGATGTCTGTTTGCTTTTGAGAGAGGGTGGCTCATTTGAATATCATCTCTATCCAATACGAATATGAAACTTCAGCCACTGACAGCTGCTTTTCGACTAAAAAAAATTTAAATTTTAGCCAGTGAGTAGGCTTAAATATCAAGATTAATGCGTTTGGCATTAAAAAAAAATACTTTTTTCCGCTGTAACCGAACAGTTAAACCTCTAAAACAGTAATTCGGTATTCTACCATTTCATTCGCTTCTCTCTGAAACAAAAATGCGCGCAAATACGTTTCACTGCATGTTTTAGTCGCTCAATAGTTCAAAAAATAAAGAGTATAGTTAATCATGAACGTGATTAGAGAGAGAAATGCTCCTCTATTTTAACTCACCGTTCAGTCGATCACTCGTTATTTTCACTGCTTATTTTCTATTGGCGGCCACTGGTCTTTCTTTTTCTACTGTTTAGTCCAGGTGTTTTATCTTTAAAGTGATTGCAACGTTTCAGTTTTTTGAGGACCACAAAGCGATTAGCAACCAATCACGCTACATCTTTTCGCGATACCATGGCGAGGGACGAATTTCATTAATTTTATTGATTTTCGTGTTTATTTCATTTTATTTTTTCTCTTGCAAGGAACTGAGTGGGCAGAAAATTCCCCTCCGTTCGTCTATCCCTCCCCAGTCCTCTTTGTCGCTCAGCTCCTTGATATAAGGAAAAAAAATTCGAAGGAAATTAAATACCGCAACAAATTTGAAGTCATTAAAATTATGTGGCTGTATCGTACTATTTGTATAAGAAAATCGAGCAACCACAGTACAGTTTATTGCGAGTACTAGGTCGTGCGATTTTTTAAATTATAGTATACAATTAACGAAATAGTTGAAGGAAAGACATGGGCCTTTTTCACCTGGCAGCCATGTTGGTTTGAACAATATATTCCAGCACGCGTGGCTGGGTGCCACAATAGTGTTTATTCTCATGAGAATAAACATTGCCGCCGTGTGATAAAGCCCTTTGCCCAATAGACCATTTTGGCTTTGGCCTAATGTTTTCCCATTTCAGACCACGTGTCATATCACTGAGAATAACTTTCTTTCTTTAGATAGTAAAATATTCTACCCTATGTATTGTTATTAATGAGGAATGAGGCATCCACTCTGATCTGGAACAATGCCCAGGTAACCCAGAGTGTAATGTTTTTATCCCGCTCGGCTTGCTCGCGGGTGAGGCGGTAGGTCGACGTCTGTACTTTTCCCGTTAATTATGAATGAAGTGGCACGGAGGGATCACGCTTCCCTATATATACTCTATTTGCATATTATTATATTATTTACGGTCTCTTGAGGATTGAGAATTAGCCTGGTTAGGGCTAACAACTAAACCCAACCCTTCCCTTTCCCTGAAAAAACCTTTAAAGTATATAAAACACACAATAGCGTGTTCTGAAATTGAACAACTACAACTAAACCCAACCCTTCCCTTTCCCTGAAAAAACCTTTAAAGTATATAAAACACATAATAGCGTGTTCTGAAATTGAAATCTGAAAACCATGTCATCGTGACATATTATTGCAGACATGCGCAGTTTAGGTCATGTACATCCCACAAGCATTAATGGGTCTTGAGAAATGACCTTGTTGCCAGATATGTAACTCGAAATTCACAGCCTGTTCATTGCAGGAGTCGTAATTGGTGCATGATGCTTTGATGATGTGAATAGAACTGAGAAGAGGACTTTATTGGCCTCGTCAGTACACTGGTTATCACCTGAATAAAAGTGGATTTGGAACTGAGTTTTAGTATTGGTGTGTGTTTAATCACATTAAAACTGAGTAATTGTGTAGCGGTAAAACGAATTAAATGGGTAATGACTGAAGGGACAATACAGCTCACTTTCAAGGAAATTTTTCTATTAACATTAAACAAATAAAATCTTCCTTGATCCAAGATCGGCTTCTCTATCATTAGTTTTTTGCTCCCTTATTTAGAGTGAAGTCATTAAAACCATGAAATATATAGTAGACCCTAATTCCATTGTTTTCTTTTGTGTCTATTTGACTATTACACGTTGACTAACATTTTGAATTGCACGGGTTAAATGCCTTCACTCTACTACAAATGAATGAGGAATGGTAACCCATAAAAAAAAAACAATAAAAACTGTTATCACTGTGCCATGTGTCTATGCTAGACGATGTTCGAGACTCTAGCACTTGTGGGAGCCACTGAGTAGGCGTTGTGCATGCGTTCACCATATCGCATGTGATAGGTACCAAGTAACCCCCCGCCGTCCCCTCTTAACAGTTCCCGTAAGATGACAATTGTTTTGAACTTACCATTTCCTACTCCTGGGAATACTGCTAAAAAACAATTTTTAAAGTTTTACATCTGTGGAAATTTGAAAACAAACGTCATGTCATGTTGTTATTGACATGCGCAATATATATGTCATGTACATCCCACAAGTATAAATGGGTCTTGAGAAATGACCTTGT